GAAGCCTCATCAGATCACAAAAGGAAGCATTTGACTGGTGTTGTGGAGTAAAAAGGTTATAATGTTCTCTTTTGTTGAGCAACAGGTTTAGAAATGTGAATGCAAGGGAGCTACCGGTGCCATATTGGTACCGGGTTTCGGTACCCAACCCTAGTGCATACTGTCATTTTTTGGTGAACTACCTCTTTAACTATTGTTCCAGTGTTGCATAGACACAACATCATCGGTTTCTGCCGCATCTGTACTAGCCTGATGAGATTTGTTCAGTTCAAGGGCTTTAGCTTACTTCTAGAGCACTCCAGGGCTTTCCCGAAGACTCTGAATTAAGAACATTGCAGACATGACAGCTGGGTTTGATGCAGAACCATCGAAGTGAGCATCAGCTTAATGAAACTTTGATCAAAGTGCGGAAAGCTTCAGATTTTATACGCTGATTTAGTGTTCCTTTGGCTGATTGTGTCTCACCTCACGAACATGCTGCAGTTTTTTTTTTTTTAGGGACTACAGAAAACAACATATACGGGGGCAGCTTATTAATAACTAATGCAAATCTGCACAGCCAGCAAACTAAAAAGAACAGATCATTTCCTAGACATCACACAATTCTTTCATGACTGATCACTCAATGGTCTCATTATGCTCAAACTCTCATGGTTAATACAAAGGTCTGAGTTTTGTTCAAAGTTAATTCAGGAATCAGAGGTTTGATCAAAGTTGGTCTAGTAATTGGGGTTGAATTATTAGTCCTGACAATAGAAGTGTTGTGCTTCTTCGCTGCATGTTAATGACTTACTCATTATTAATTCAGCACTTGCTGATCTGTGATTTCGTTTTAACAGCATTACATAGTGGTGAATGTTAAGGCAAGGTTTTCCACTCTTAATATTATGCTTTGATTGACACGAAACTCTTCACGCTCTGTTTGAGCTACGGACATGAATGATACCTCAAATCATGCAGCTTGTTAAGGAGAAGTGCTCTTGCTTCTCTAAGCCATCATAAAACAGACAAAAAATCCCACAGACTTGCACTAAAAAAGGAACCCAAGCAGTCTACAAAATAATCTAAGCACCTTAGCAAGCACATAACCCTCTCAGAATACAATTTTCTTCAAAATTATATTCACAGCACTGACAGCTAACTCTTATCTGCTCTTTGTTGTGGACTGAACTGCACTGAGCAAACACTGAAAGTGCATGGAAGGATTTCGTTTAATTGACATACATAATCCACTTAAGCTTCCTGAGCTTCCATTTCTGCGAATGTTCTTGTTTCACGGCTGTAGAAACTACAGTAAAGCAAAAGGGTGTAGGTATTATGGACATCATTGAACTGACTCATAGATCAACAGTTTTGTTCAGGTCCTGCAGTTTTGTAATTATATTGCAGCTCTAGGTATCATTCTCTACCTCACCCAACAACATAGGTTTGGTTTCGGTCATTTTAAAATTAAACTAAAGAGATGTACCATGTTTTCACATACACTGTGAAATTACCTTTTACAGCTTGTTTTATCAGTTGTTTCGTGTTTGTAAAAAGCAGTGGTT